GGTCATCCATGGCAGACAGGTTTCAGCAGAGCTTCTAGACTAAGACAGGCTAGGAAGAAAAGCCTGGTGAAATACTTCTGAAAATTAGCCAATGAAAACCCTATGGTTCATAATACAGTGCCCTAGGATGAGCTCCCTAGGTTGGAAGGTACTCATAACACACAGTGGCCACAACAACATACTCAAGCATATCTATGACTGGAAGATGGTGCCGGACCAAGCAACATTTCTCTCTGTTGTACATGGGGGTGTCATAAGTCACAGCCAACTGAATGGCAACTAACAACAATAACAGCAAAAGTTAAGTATTTCTAAGCACTACAGAGTTTTGCTAGAGTGATAACTAGCTAGATGGAAAACAACAGGGAAACCTATGACATAACTGGGAGCTCTGGTGGAGTAGTGCCTAAGTCGTTTGACTGCTAACCAGAAGGCTAACAATTCAAACCCACCAGCCACTCCTCAGAAGGAAGACTGGGCAATCAACTATATTCCTAGGGCTAAGCTAAAAACTAGGCCAACACCCCAGTGCCAAATGTGCTCACCTCAGATAGAAGAGCCATGGAAGGAAGAAGAAAAAGCTATGCAAAATTGCAAACTGCAGCCTGAAGCACACACCTACCTTATTTAAAAAAAAAAAAAAAAAAAAACTGGGGATAGGCTGAAAGTAGACTTTTCTTTGCAATTAGTACATACCAAGCACTCTGCTGTGAGGAATACATCATCTTGACGAATATTCACAACCTCCCAGTTAGGAAGGCATTCTTCTTCCCACTCAAGAAGAATAACTTCACCAAGCCAAGTTAAGCAGTGGATCTTGGTGGTTTTAAAGCTTATGCACATTTTACTATACCAGTTGCTTTCTGAAAATGTATTGAAAAGTTATAACTATGTGGATATAAAAAAACCCACTGCTGAAATTAAGTTTTGAGTAGCATTCCCTAACAAGTGGGAAGAGAATAATAAACAGGAAACAATACCTGGAAAGGAGGTGGCCTATGCAAAGAATGACACAAAATTTACTCACTTTCTTATCTATTTCTTTGTCCCAGCTTCAGTGCAATGGATTGCTTTTATACTGCCTTTCTAGCCATGGTCTTGTAACTCCCACCAATTTATTGGGTGAGAGTATGCAAATAAGATGCTTGTGGCCCACCAAGGGGATTGGAAAGTTGCTAATAACAGAAATAAAATGCATGGCACCCTTGTGAGGGTGGGACCATGCAAATAAGGTATAGAGGTGTAAAGAGGGGAGTCCCCTACCACCAAGAAGAAGAAACAGGCGTGAAGTGTTCTGAGAACCTTCTATACCTGGGAGACAGAGAACTGTAACACTGGAGATGACATAAAATGGTGAGAAGCTGTGGTAGAGAAATGGCAGCAGCAGAATCAGGAGACCAGCAGGGGCTGGTGCAGTGAGTTTCTGATCTACAGAGTAAGGTGGCTACAGTGGAGAAGTAGACACACAGAGCGAGAGAACTGAGTGCCTTTCAGGCCAAGGTGGAGTGGGGTGCTTTCAGGCACTTACTGGTAGAACTAAAGACTTTGTAACACTTGCTGGAGTTGGAGCAGGGGCAAAAGCCAGGCCGAGGCAAAAGCCAGGCCAAGCCGGGCCGAAGGGGTGAGGGGCCAAGAGCCAGAAAGAAGCCTGCCTGAGGACATGGCAGAAAAGCTGTCCTGATCAAAGAAGTGTATTCTGAGTCCCTCTGTCTTGAATGGTAACCTGTTACTTCCCTAATAAACCCCATAACTGTGAATATGGTCTATGAGTTCTGTGTGGCCATTGCAGCATATTATCAAACGCAGCAGTGAAGTAGAAAGTGCTATGGGAAGGACTGCTGGTGTCAGAACTGGTAAAAAAAGTTGAAGGGTAGAGGTATGTATGTCTGATCTCCACCTCATACCAAACACCCTTGTGCTGTTGACGCTGATAATGATTCTCCTCCTCACTTGTGAAATTAGATGAGGAGGTCCAACACCCTCATGCCACCATTTTTACACCAGCATATTAGCATAGTGAGAGACTGCATAAACAAACAAACAAAAATAAATAAACTCACTGCTGTCGAGTCATCTGACTCATAGCCACGCCTCCTTGGATTTCTGAAGTAGTATCTCCACGTAAGTAGATTGCCCCTTCTTCCTTCGGAGGAGCAGCTAGCTGGTAGGTTTGAACCGTCAGCCTTCTGGTTAGTAGTCAAAATGCCTTAGGCACATAGTAGGTATTAAAATCATAGACTCTGGAGCCAGACTGTTGGGGTTTGAATGTCATTTCCACCAGGGATTCACTATATATGACCTTGGCAAGTTATCTTGTTCTTACCTCATCTGTGAGATAGTGATAATCATAATACCTACCTCACAAAATTATTGTAAGGATCAAATAAATTAATATTTGCAAGGTTCTTAAAATAGTACTTGGCATGTAGTAAATATGCATTTGTTAAGTCGCTAAATAAAGAACTAACTCAACAAATGGAAATGGGGAATTGGGTGGAAATGAGGAGAGTGCTGACACATTTCGGGTAACACAACCAGTGTCACGGAAAAATCTGTGTATTAAATATTGAATGGAAAACTAATTTTCTATGTAAACCTTCACCTAAAGCACAATAAAATATTCAAAATGAAAAAAGAACTAACTTAGCTAAATGTCCAGCTAGGTGGGGAAGAAATGTGAACTTGAATTTGTAACCAAGCCTTTGCCACATAACCTGGTAGAAGGAAATCATAAACCAAAAACTTGTTTAGAATTTACATGGGACCTTTTACATGAAACATTTCAAAGACATCTGGAGGAAGAATGAATAGCAAATATGCACACAAGTAGAAACTGAAACCTGGAAAAGGGAAGTAAGATGTTCAATTTCACTTAGTGCACATCATTAACAGATCTAAGGCAGGAACCCCAAAGTCTTGTCAGTCCAGATTTTGTACAGGCTATTTGTGCACATAAGAGAAGAGGACCCTTAAAAACAGCCATGTCTTCATAGGAGTCACAATCTCTCATAAACTTTCCCCTGCTTGTATTTTCTCAGAGATAAATATTATGCTTCTAGTTTTTGGACTACAGATGCAATATCTGAAACTGTTTTTAAAAGCTAAGACTCCTTGTTCTGGTTAACTTGTGCCGCTCTGACAAGATATATACCACAAACGGGTGGCCTTAACAAACAGGAGTTTATTCTTACAATTTGGAGGCTTTAAGTCCAAGTTCAAAAGCCCCTCAGCCCGGGACCCCAACTCTGCCTCCAGCCCCTGGCCCACTGAAGCTAGAGGTGTCTCCCCACCCAGACAGCCGCTGGCCGCAGAAGCTGAGAAGCCTAAGGCCAACAAACAAAATGGCACAGTCCCTACGCCACCAGACCACACGGGAGGCCACCAACTGAAGTCCATCATAAGTCCCAAGGTCAGCAGAACATGGCAGGCTGCTGAACAACAACATGGCTACATGCAGGGTCCAAGAATGCCATAGGTTAGAGACCATTCCCAAGGCTTATTCCTTAGATACAGGAAGCAGACCACATCCCAAAGGCAGCTACTCAGCTGCTTGCGGTAGATCCCACCATGGAGTTGACTGCCAGTCTAATTATGAGGAATAATGACCATCAGCTGCCCAGCCACTCAACCAGACCCAGCCAAGTTGACACAAAAACATAACCACCATACTCCCTTCAGCCACACTGTTGCTCTATCCTGTCACCATTGCACTGATAAAAGAGATTAAGACCAGAATTACTAATAATGCAAACCCTAAATATGGGAAGCACTCATACTACAGAGTCCAACTCACCACTGCATTAAAGTAATTTTTAAAATCTTAAATCTCTTTAATTTCTAGAAGGTATGAACTTTCTGACAATCCAAAAGCAAACTTATTGCCATCAAATCGATTCTGACTCATAGTGACTCTACAGGACAGAGTAGAACTGCCCCATAGGGTTTCCAAGGCTGTAAACCTGCAGAAGTAGATTGCTACAGCTTTCTCCCACAGAGCCACTGGTTCGGTTGTAACAGCCCGTCTTTTGGTTGGAAGATGAGCGCTTTAACCACTGTGCAACCAGGGCTCCTTTACTGACAATATTGCTGTTGTTGTGTACCGTGGAGTCATCATAGGACCCCTCCTTGGGTATCCAAGGGTGTATCACTACAGAAGTAGACTGCCCAACCTTCCTTCAGAGGAGTGCCTGGTGGGTTTGAACCACCAGTCTTCTGGTTAGCAGTCAATTGCCTTAGGCACTACGCTACCAATAGTTCCATATAAATAAATGTCAAATTGCTAAATCTGCATCTTGGGATACAAGCCAGAGGTTTGAAGATGAAAAGGAAGTGACAAAGATTTCCTGCCATTCTGACAGAGAATCTAACATTGGTAAAAGGCAAGAGCACAACTTCTAATCGCAACAAGCCCCCACTCCCAACCCATTGCCATTACAATCACCCACTCTCATCTACAGGCTCTCCTTCTCGATTCCCAACCCCGCTCCCCCTCACACACACACACACACACTCATCCCAACTTAAGCTTCTTCCTAGGCCACACTTGCCACCTAACCTTTGCTCCCAGAAATTTACATCAACACACTTAACACTGACCCAGCTTTACTATGACCGCAAGTTTCAGTCAAAGCACCAACCTAATGCCCTACTCCAGTCTATAGACTCTGGCCTATAAAATCTCACTAGTGCACCTCAGTCCTTTTTTTTCCCAGTTTCAATATCCACCTCTTCTCCAGCAGCTTTGGATCTGAACTTCACCCACTTTTGATCCCCCTGCCCTAAATAAATTATGTCCACCTACCCTCACCCTAACTAAGCCCTTTCCCTAATCCTATCCACACCCTGGCTCCTCCTTCCTCCCAGAAATTCTTCCCAAACATATCACCATCATCACTCACTCTCAAATCTGTCCGCCAGGCACTTCCCCCCTTGCCTTCACAGCCCTCCCAACCTCCCTTTGCTTTTGGAATTCATCTGCCCTTAACCCCTTCCCCACCCACCTGCTCTCCTCAGGCAAGCGCTCCTCGCAGCCTCCGAGTTCCATTCTCGTGCCCTCCGGCCTCATCAGGGGTTGCGAGGCCGCCTCCTCGCTGAGGAGTGACGTCCCTGCCGCTTTGCCCCTCGGGGTTCCAGAGCCCCTTGAACACGGAGGAGGCACCTACGGCGGGTGAGCACAGGGTGATGCACCACCCCGGGTGCTGGCGGCCACAATGTCTGCTACCTCAGCTGCGGTTTCGGTCCCTGCCACCCCACTTCCGGCTATAAGAACTACAACTACCAGCAAGCACTTCGAAAACTCTGTCACTCCCAGCATGCACCGCCCCCTCCAGTCAGCGGCTTCGTTTCTGGTAGACTGCAGATCCCGGCGAGCTTCCTGCACAGCAGGAGCTCACCTGCGATAACTCGGACTGCAAACCAGCCAAGTCTGGTCTCCGGAATCTGTGCCAGTGTTGATTTTTACGCACCCTTGTGTGCTATTTTAAGGAATTTTGGTTTTATCCTGAAAACAATTAGGAACAAATCAAGAAGTGGTATGATCAACTCTGCTTACAAAGTTAATTTTGACAATGTGGAGAGAAGATGAATTATGTAATATGTTGGCGGTAAGGATGGAAGAGTGAATATGAAAGGAAACTGGAAGTCGTGAAAGAGACCAAGCAGGTGATAAAAGTGGGAGAAGTGAGCCAGGGATAAGAAACCACAGCATGACGGGAGTGTGTACTGGAAAGCCCATGCCTCATCCAAGAAGGGAAGTCACTCTCACCTCAGCTGTAACTGAATGTTGCCAAATGGGCATACGGGCCAGATACTCCAATTTTCTGCAAGAAGCCTGGAATTGGCATTTTTAAGCACAATTTCTGAAATTTTAATGGCTGGCAAGAAGTTTTTAAAATTTTATACATTCCATAGGCCACGCAAAGCTATCTGCAGGCTGACCCTTAGGCTACTAGTTTGCATATCCAGACCTAAACTAGGGCACTGGCTGAAGGTTTGGATTAAAGCAAAGTTAAGGAAATAGAATCACCACTATTTGGCCTAGTAGTGGATGGATCAAATAAAGGAGAGGGAAGGATCAAGAATAACTTCATGAGTAGCAACTGGGATCTTAAAAGCTTACAAGCGGCCAACTAGATGTAACGATGGGTCTCTCCTCATCCAGAACAAAGCAGAATGAAGAAAACCAAAGATGCATGGAAACAATTAGTCCAAGGGACTGGTACACCATGCGATCCTCAGCCTATATGACCATGAGACCAAAAGAACTAGATGGTGCCACGCTACCACTGTCAACCACTTGGAGGGGGATCTATGTAGGAGATCTGGGATAGAGTAGGAGAACAATGTAGAACAAAACTCAAAATCATAAAAAAAATTTAAAAAAAACAGGTTTGCTGGTCTGATAAGAGCCTGGTGGGACCCTTGAGACTATGGCGGCTAGCTACTCTCCAGGTCTGGAATTGCACTCACTCCTGTGGCTTCCAGGCAAATAATAGGCATATGGGCTGAACATTTACATCAGGTAGATACACTCCTTGGAGCAATCAATCATGGAAGAACAGAAGGGCAGTGTTTGTATAGGGAGACAGCTGGGGGTGGGGGTTTAGTACATGGGAAGGAAAGACACAGGGAAGAGGTAACTATGGGGAGGAAGTGGGAAGAGAGCTGTTACATTGTGGGGAATTGTAGTCAATGTCATGAAAAAATGTGTTTGAACTGCTGTATGGAAAATGAATCTGCTCTGTAAACTTTCACCCAAATCACAATAAAAATTTAAAAAAGAGTAACACCATGAAAAACTAGTGACTTTACTAAAAATAATATATAGCTTTTAGGAGTTTTCAAACTTGAAAACTTTTTGATGAATCAAAAGCGAAATGAAAGAGTCATTTAACACAAATTTATTTTCAACTTCCATTTATATATGAAAAATACTCGTTCTTTGTTAAAACTTTCTCATGTTTTTCTACTAAAGGATTACACATTTTTTAAAAAAGAGACAGTTAATGACTGGGAATTCACTACCTTCTGTTTGTACACATGCATTAACTTTACTTTTTAACATTCTGTGTAATCCCAAATTAATGCTACATGATGTTAAAATACATTTACACAAAAGTTAGCTTTATAAGAGAATTACAGAACTAAAATTGTAATAAGAGTTCTGGAAAACAGGATATTCCTCCTATGTCTGAGTTTGAGTTTGCACGTATTTGAAGGAATCAATGAATAAATATGACAATAACCTACACTAACTGTGTGTATATCCTCCATCCCCACTCTGCTTTCCCTCACCCCAGTTAACCATAATCCCTTATGATTCCATTGCTTAAATTTTTATATAGTTTATTTCCATCTATCTATATTCCTATAAAAGTATTATTTTTGAAAATACTGTGTTTTAGTTTATTAAAAGGGTATTAATCCGTAGTCTTTGGGAAGTTTATTTTGCTTAGTATTATAAGTTTCATCCACATTGCTGCATGTTGTTATAGTTCATTGGTTCTGATTGTAGATAGCTCTGGTGGTGTAGTGCCTAGGGCATTTGACTGCTAACCAGAAGGCTGGCGGTTCAAACCCATGAGCCACTCCTCGGAAGGAAGACGGGGCAATCTATTTCCATAGAGACACTGCCTCGGAAACCCAAGGATGGGTAGCTATGAGTCGAATTGACTAGATGGCAGTGAGGGTTTTTTTTTTTTTTTTGTATAATATTCCATTGTGTGAACATCCAAACCCACTGCCATCAAGTTGATTCTGACTCATAGCAGTCCTACAGAATGAAGTAGAACTGCCCTGTAGGGTTTCCAAGGCTGTAAATCTATGGAAACAGTCTGCCTCATCTTCTCCAGCAGAGTGGCTGGTGGTCTCAAACCACCAACTTTTTGGTTAGTAACCAAATGCTTTCAACCACTGTGCTACCAGAGCTCCTTGTGTGTACATACCACAGTTTATACTTGCACTCTCCCACTGATAGGCATTTTGGTTGTTTCCAGATTTTTGGTATTGTGAACAGTGCTGCTATGAAAGTTCTTGAACATACCTCTTCTTGTATATATGCAAGAGTTTCTCTTGAGTACATGCCTAGGAGTAGAATTGCTTGATCATAGGGTTAGTATCTATTCAAGCTTCTGTTTTGGGTGGTGTGTTTGCAGGTGCACAGATTTTAAAATGTCTAACTAGTTATTATAATGAGTCATAACTAATTATAATAATTTAAAGTAATTAACTAAACTAAAAAATGAGCCATGTATGGAAAAATGAAGTGTGTGTCATTAACCCAGGATTATGATTAATCCAATTTTGTGCACCTGGGGTCCAAATTAATGAGCCCTGATAGCATGACGTTTAAGCATTCAGCTGCTAACCAAAAGGTTCGAACCCACCAGTGGCTCTGTGGGAGAAAAGACCTGGCAATCTGCTCTCATAAAGATTACAGCCAAGAAAACGCTATGGGCCAGTTTTACTCTGTCACAGAGGGTTGCTATGAGTCAGAATTGACTTAATGACACACCACAGTGAGAAACCATTAGCCCATTGCTGTTGAGTCAATTCTGACTCATAGTGACCCTGAAGGAGACAGTAGAACTGCCCATAGGGTTTCCAAGGCTTTACAGAAGTAGATTGCCATATCTTTCTCCCTTGGAGGGAGCTGCTGGGGTCAAACTGCTGACTTTTCAGTTAGCAGCCAAATACTTAACAACCATTGTACCCCAGGACTCCTTACAACAACGAGGTCCAAATACAAATTTTGACAAATACTCAAAAATATCTGGCATCAAGTTTCAGTAAGTGTCACATGATTGTAATGGCCTTACTTAGCAACTGCTTACTAAATTAATATTTTATTTTATTTTTGGTGATCGATTTTCTTTTATTTTTATTTTTTTATTATTGTGATTTGGGTGAAGATTTACAGAGCAAATTCACTTTCCATACAGCAGTTTACATATACTTTGTCTCATGACATTG